GTAAATGGAGATCTGCAGATCATACAACCTGCGATTTTTTTAAAGGCTTGACTAATAGTTTGTTATCAAATGTCACTTCCAACCTACCCCTAACTCCTCGAATCTTTTGTCTCAACCGTGTATAAGCCAAACCCTAACTCCTCGGTCTTTTGTATCTACCGTATCTAAGCAAAAATCGGTGAATTATTTCAATGAATTGCGAGTATGCACTTTTGGTTTAATAATAGCCTGTTATTCTGTCCGGTGATGTTACTTTCATATAATGTCCCAGTCTCTAGAATATTTGAATATTGAAAGCGAAAATCTTAGCGAATGTTAACTTTCAAGGGCCCTGTCTCAGACCGCAGTATTGCTATTTTTATTTGCTGAAGTCGGAAATAAATGTTGGAAATGAGACTCGTCGTTAGATTAAGTACTTTCTTTACTGTCAGTTCGCTACCACCTCTATCATCAGTTTTGGAAAATTTTACCGGTTTTTAATTCCCTGCTCCAGGTTGACAAACGTTCTGCAAAATACGGAAAATATCTCTCAGCTTTCAATAGTCTTTGCAACGTTATTCTTGAAACCTTTTGCCGAGATGAAACCTATACTGTTTAAATGTGTGACATTTTTTTCAAAAATAGTCTTAACTCTCTGTTTACTTTGTTCTTTGTACAAGCTTTTTTTACTAGTTTAGAACTAGCAAGGAAAGACTAATAACAAACTACTCGTAGTTTAATAAGAAACAGTAAATAACTAGTTTCTCACTAGTTATTTTTCTTTGTACTATTTCAGAACAGTTGCAAGCATATATAGCAACTTTTACATCATAAAAGCCATTGATAAACTCAAATGTCACCTCATAACTAAAATAGGCCCACCAGCGGCCGAGCGGTAAAGTCGCTGAACACTGGTAGTTCGGTCCGAGGTTCGAATCCCGCGAAGGGGCTGGCTGCATCGGCGTTTTCGTGGTTTTCCCCATGTGTAACGTGTATACGAGTGAGTTTCCCTTAGAAAGTCCTCCACGAAGGCATCCCTCCCATTAGGCAGATAGCCCTCGAAGCTTTGCCATAATCACACATACTACACTACACTACCCATAACTAAAATATTTGAAAGAGATCATGATAAAAAAAAGACATAGTTTAAAATTTTAAACCTCATTGTAACCAATTTTAAAATTTTAAACCTCATTGTAAGGAATTTCCCCATCTGTAAAAGCTTTCTTTATAGAAAACTCTTGATTTCTTTCATATCAAACTATAATATTATTCAGGTTATATTTCTGAAAGTTTCGTGTCATTGACAGATGTCTTTTCATAGTTAAGGATCTTATATTAATTTTTTTCAAAGTAAACACGAAGACAGTTTATTAAATGTATGTACTAGATAAACAAGTGTATAAACAAATTAACAGAAAAGCAATCATTGTAATAAAATGCTCTTCTTGCTATTTGAGCCACTATGTGCTTTGATTGCTTTCCTCACGCTTCAATAGAACTTTACGCTCTTTTGAACTTTAATACTATGACTCAACGTACGTTTGGGTAACATATTCCTTCTTTTACTCTGTACGTTTCAGTTCTATAAATTTTCGGTCATTTTTTCAGAATACCATACAACTTCAAATAATACCTGCAGCATACGTGTTAAAGTTATAAAATTTGACTTATTTCGGTAGCACAGACTAAGTCCAAACAAACTTGGAGAGAATTATCGCTTCGTCTTAACAGAACTATAAAATCTTGCGGAGGTTCAACAAACCCTTTTATTAAATCAGAACTAGAACATAAACGCGTGACTCATGCTTACAAATCAGCCAACCGCTGATATAACTTAAAGTAACATTGAATTCAAATTTAAATTATGTGTAGTAGCCAGTGCTTACACAAATGGTTTATCGTGAAGTTGGATCAAACGTCTTCCTGGCGTAACAATTTAAATACCGGAAACTATAATGCAAGCGAAAGAATTAAATCTGAACTGAGCCACCTAACTTAGTAAGTGGCCTCGAGAGGCAGAAACGTGCTAAAAATTCATATTGTGTACTCTCCTAAAAATCCTAAAAGTCCTCTTACAATCCTAAAAATTCATATTGTGTACTCTCGAAATAATTTACTTTCTGGTAGGGAAACGGAAGAGAGAAGTGGTAAAACAGTTCTAAATCACAAACTTAAAACTACTAGGATATTTAAAATAGCAACCTTAGAAAGTTTTTCATCGTTCGCATTAATCAACAGAAAATTACTTTCTTTCGTTAGTTAAGTAAAAGTTGCTGTCTCTGTGTCATTTAAAAGCCAATAGCTCTTTCTGAGCATAAAAGCCTTTGTGTTAAAGGTCAAAGCCGAATAAACAACCGTTTAAACCTAAAAGTAAAATACTTGGGAAAATTACAAGAAAATTGAGACCAGTTTGATCTAAACTTTACTTAGTCGCATCGGTATACATTGATACAAATCCTTATTTAATGGTTAAATGTTGGAATATCAAATGTCTACTAGGTATTTCGAGACTTTTTTCATCTGCCAGGACCGAATGCTAGGTTTTATTGGTAAATGCTAAACGTATAAATCTTTTCGAAGCAGCCTTCGAATATTTATATTAATATATAAATACGCACTACTAATTGTAACACAGGACTTTCCTGAAATGACTAAATTTTTTTTCAAAATGTTCTTTTCCCTTCACAACGTTCACTCTTAACGTCGTTAAGAAACGTTTGGCGGATCTGTTATCCAGCCACAATCTCACCCAACAAAATTCCTGGTTTACTTGGTTCTATCTAAATTCCAGTACCTTCTGCACTAAAGTCAACTCTTAAACAGATTAAAATCATATGAATAATTCTTTATGCACATTTATTTTTCTCTTGTATACGTAGATTATGGAGGTGACGTATGGTATCATTGCCAACAAATAAATTATGTGTTTTTTTTTAATTTTCAGGATATTTTATATACGACTATTAACTGCCATCTTTTTTTTTCTAAATTTGCGCCTATCGTGGTACTGACAGAATTTCTACTCTAGTGTACGTTGTAAGCAATAAATTTAAATTTCACTTCTTACATTCACTCCTCTTATTTGAACTACACCTCAAACAAAGGATACCCTAACTTGTTCACTCCCCGTCAATAGGTTTTCAGGGCCCAGATTACTAAACAGTGCAGTTATAATTTGAAAAATAAATAATAAATATTATATTGGATCGAATGACAACAGTCTAGAATAACCCGGCTTATGTAATTAGGTTAGTTTACTGGAATATGACAAAACACACAAAATATCTGCCTAAAAGGGGGATATTGACTGGTATGTTACAAATGGGAAACTCCACGAAACCCAGCCGTACAGCGAACCCGTTCGCTTGGCGTCAACCCCGGGCAGAATTCCCGGTATCGAGCATTTAACCACTCGGCCAGTAGTAAGGCCGAACCACAATGAAAACCCATTTAAGATTTTATATCTTGTACAATGGCAACATCACCCAGGTAGCGTTACGAAAAATAAATTCCCACACATATTTGAAAAGATTCCGCCAAAGCCGTTTTTAATGCTTGCAACATCCCGATAGCCCTCCAAAGTAAGATAGATAGTAATTAGGAACATGCTGCACTTTTTTTAATTGCTCAATTATTTAAGCAATGCATAATTTAATTTAAAAGTTAAATTAAATACACTCGTGCCAAAATAAAAGGCGACAAACACTAAAGGAAAATGTGCGAATGTAAAAAGGAGAATTAAAGTATGCAGTTTACATATGAGATAAAAGTTGCAACGCCAAATGCAAACAGACAACCCAAATTAGCATAAAACGGAATCCCGCAGATCGCATCATATCTATTTAAAAAGCAGCATACCGGCCTATGCGTTAGTTCGCAAGCAGCGCTAGTTTCCTCTAAAAGATAGCCAAAGCGGAAAGCAGGAATCGATCACACCATTTCACGATGAAACACGCTGGAGGGCTATCGAGATGTTACAAGCTAGTGCAAACGAATCACTGTTGCTATAGAGCTGAATATGCACCGTAGTGTCATCAATAGAATGTGGGGTCGTTGCCAAAGGGATCAAAATACCTTTAGAAGAATGGGTTTTGGTGTCAAATGATTACCATAACGGCTAACGGTCTCTTGCTTGCGTCGTGAAGGACTGTATAAAGGTGGACTGAAAGCTTAATGATCTATGGTTTGCGTTCCTTTGATGTGTGTATTTGGTATTGCCACTTGCAGTAAAAAGAAACAAGGAGCAAAAATGTATTATAGTAGTCCCATAAACAAAATTTCAACGTTTTATGACTAATCGGTTTTGAGTTACGATAAATACATACATACATACGCACGTACGTACTTTTGAGGCACCAAACAAATCCCTTCTGAATCCATTTTACAATTCATTTTTTTTGGGGGGGAAAGATCCAAATTATGGACAAGACAGTTGGTGGAAACAGTTTTCCTACAGTATGGCGCACTGGCAAGCTCAAGTATGTCTCTATTCCAACAGACTTCCAAATAGTCTGATTTCCCGCCTTGATGATTTAATTATTCTGCTTCCTATACTTGACTACTTCCTTTGAGCTTACATGAAGGATTGAGTCTTTAAGCATGGTTTTAGGATGACTGATGGTAAAAGACTCCCATCAGGGAGGCAGTATAGGCACTATTCGACACGACATACTGATATCCATCACATTTACATTCACATTATTAAGAAAAGTAAGAAGAAAATCTATCGTAAATTATAAACGAACTATAATAACAGATACCAAGTGACAAAAAATCTGGTAACCGGATAAAGTAGGTCATGCAGCTCAAAGGGTTAAAACCTTTTCACAACATAATATGAGAAAAAAGCCATTTAAATAACATGCAGTCGGTGAATTTGGAATGAAGTAAATTATATCAAACCTTATACAACTATTGAAAAGATTAGTTATTCCTTTTACGTTTTCAAAAAATAAGCATATTAATGCAAAGGAACTATTAATCAATAAATGATTGAGAAATAAGATCATAGAACTCACCCTTCCTTCTTTGGACTGTAATTTTAAATCCTTTAGGCAGGAAGCGCTGATACCACCAGCTCTGGACTCTAAACCAATTCCTTCAGGAGCTTGTACTCGCAATTTACGTGTTGGAGACTCTAACCTAAAACCAAAGAAAACCTAATATAACGAATTTTTTTAATAATATGTCTTACATTTCCAACATTCAACAGAAGCCGTAAAACAAGAGCAAAATCACTAGAAATTTAGAACAGCATCACACCATAACAATTACAAATACAAAATACGCTGCATTATTTTACCTAAGTAAAAACCAAATGATATTATCCATAATACATGTAATACATTGGTGTTAATTTTTTTTTTTTTTGCTATTTACGATGCTGCTGCAGATGCTCGTTTATATATTGGTTACATTATAAATTAAATGAACTTAAAATTACAATTAAATAGATAATTAAAAATAAAATAACAATTTCGGTTATTAAGAATTTCGATTATTGATTTTAATCGTTCCTGTGAGAACACGCAGAAAATAAATTAAACCCTATTTCCTTGAGTGGCAGTACTAATAAAGTTTCAGCGATCTTAAGCGCATTGTAACGTAACGTAATGTAACTTACGTAAAAGTGCAAAACTTTGAAAAAGCCATTGCAAGAGACTTAATATCTAAAGCTAAAAAAGAATTTAATTCTCTTCGGTTGCTTTCAGTGCGGTATTGGGAATTTGTTAGGTGTCAATTAAAGGAGATTTTATCTGTTTAAGATCACGTAATGAACGTTCTACTGCGTTTACTATATGCTTTCTGAGGACAATACTAAAAGTTAAATTTTGCATTAACGAAATTATTCTACATTTTTGTGCAGTTATTGCTTTTGTTAAACTCTTTTTTGTTATTTTGAAAAACTTTGCATCTAAAAATTCGTATCTCGGACCGATATTTAAGGAAATAAATTCTTTTGTTTCACCTCTAAGTACTGCATACTTCTGCATGTGTAACATAAATTCCTTGAACACAGCATATTTATTTGCAGCCGTTAAACATGAGATCGTAAATGTGCTTAATTAATATTATTTTAAATTATAAATCGTGTACATTACTGCAGACACGTATTTATGAATTCTTATGAATGGTATTTACTTAAACAGGCACCGATATTTTTCCCTGCATTGACAAGATGACATTTTATAACATTTATTGCCCTTTTTTTAGCAACCCATATAGTTTGGCTGCTTTCTAAATATTCTAAGAAAATATCCAGTGTTACGGTGGTTTAACTAAAAAATTATAAGTTTTTACTCTCATATACCCTTTTAGAAAATGATAAAATTTTTATCAAATTTGCAATCTTGAAGAAAATGTTTCCATTTCCATTATCAAAGCCTTTTTGTGATTATAATTAAGAAATTTATTAATGTAATCTTTCACATTGTAACAACATTAACGCGAGAAGTATATCTGTGGTAACTGTGTTTTTACAATCTAAATACTTATTTGGAACCAGTTTTGAAACTTACTCTAATTCAAGCAATTCGATTCTTTCCGTTCAAACTGCGGAATTTTTGACAGTTAATATTACTTTAACATGCATTATTTAATCATATGTTAGACAGTACACTGCAGATGGAATGTATCACCAATACAGAATCTCATAATACTAATGCAAACGCAAAACAAGCACCAAAGTTTCATCATGAACGGACATAGCCCATATCTTCAATCACATGTTGTAGCCATATATTTTGATAGACGTGTTTCGCCAAGACTTGGTGAAGCAGTCACGCAAACAAAGATCACGCAGCTAACTTTCAGATGGAATCGTATTCGGCAGCATACATCAATTTCAATTTTAACTTGACAGATGATCTTTCAGTCTGATTCTCTGCTACCAAGACTGAGATTTTAGTTTATCGAATGAAACTTGTGTTCCTGTCATTCTGTACAATACGGATACAGTTATGGTATTAATATTATTCGCCAGTTTTTGATACAAAACTCTAGAATTTTCTCGTTGCAAATAAACTTTAAACTCGATCCATGTTATCCATGCAATGAAAATTAAATATTTAACATGTAAATTATTATTGAGATTACAGCATATTACTGAAAACAAAGAATAAATTCTGAGTGAATTATTAAGAGTTTTATTCGGTTCTTTTTGTATATTATCTGATATCCTGAGCTTTCTCAGACGGAAGTGAACGTAATACCTTATCCAAAAGTAGGTGCGATATTACTTGAGAATAAAAAATCGCAAATTCACATATTGACCTGTTAAGGAAAAGCATGAGTTAATTAAGAAAGAAGTTCTATGCTAACTTTAAATATTTAACTGCTGTAAGTAATGAAATCCTCATATGGATTACAATCTTCTGGGTTATCTGCAAGAACGAATTCTCCAGGGAGAAAGCTCTACTACAGTTACAAATTACTACACGAATAATGTGACATGACTATTAAAATTAATTAACTTTTTATGCTTTAATCTAATTTAATTAAAAACATGCTTGCAATTTCAGTCATATAGAATATTTTTAATAACTTAATTTGGATGTTTTACAAATCGAACATTTAACTGAGTCAGAAAATAACCCCGTATTATCTTCAAAGTTGGGTAATAAGTGTCAAATTTATGTATTCCAAATCGGAAATGCTAGCTAATATTTTAATAATTACATTTACATCAAATTTATGCATTTTTCGATACATATCTAGCCATGGGGTATCTTAATTTGAAAATGGATGTAAATATTTATAATTATGATTAAATTAATGTCTCGAGAGCTTAAACTTCAAATAATTTATGTTGCTTCAGAGGAAAAAATCAGTTTTGTTCTACTTAAGGGTCTCAAATGTTTCACTTTGACGTCGGCTTCATTTTTTTCATTTTAATTAGAGCAAAAACATTTCTGAATTTTTAATTAGTTATTTTATTGCATTATTTTATAACTCAAGATTAATATTTTTATTTTTAAACTTTGACATCACTAAGATGTAAATTTTTATTGTTCTGATCTCTAAATTAATTCAAATGTTTTCTCTTGAAGTTCTAATATTTTTTTTTTACATTGATTCGTTCACATGCTGCAAATTTGCTTCATTTTTAGTGTATTAAACGGGACAGAAAACGAATAGAAACTTTTATGTTAAATTTGTTTTGTGCAGTAAAATTTCGTTTCTCAGCTCTGAATTTGATAGCATTTAATCATTGATTATTTCGCCAAAAGTAATTTGTAAGAGAACTAACAATTTAAAAACAGATTGCATAAAATAAATAAACAGTTTAAATATTCTTTTTTATTCCATTTATTTAATTTCTTATTAGAAAGACAAAACGTTAGAGGCAGAAATATTTATACTAGTACATAACAATTCAAAAATTATATAAGCAACATTTCGCCGTGAAATAAAATTATTGTATTATGCGCTGACACGTTAAAGCTAAAAAAATTAATGTTTAACAATTAAACACATCTCTTAGTTGCTAAGCACGTAATATGCACAATTAATTTAAAAACTCCCCAAATAAACAATGAAGACGTGTTAGAATAAAACTAGTTTCAACAGGTGCTAGTAAAATAGTTTCAACAGATGCGAATTAATTTGATAACCAAGTTTATCAAATTAAATCCCTGTTGTTAGTGGTTAAATTAAAAATTATGAATATCATATTATTCATTAACTGCAAATACTGGCATATCGTTCTCAATATTATTAATCATTTTCTTTTCGGCAACAGTACTGACATAAATGGAATTGGTATCTCTGTTGCATATTATAGGCGAAAACATCGCGGGACAAACAACAAAAATAAAAACTTTGTCGTGCAAAAGAAAATAAAGCGGCTCCAAAGGTAATGAAATTTAAAAATATTATTGGTAAGAAATAAAGCACATACAAATCATCGCATGACAATATCATTACAAGCATACGTTTTTTTCAGGCCTCAGAAGTTACAAATGTATATTCGCATAATGATTTGTGAGCGCAAGAAGGAATGATGTATATTTTTGCCTCTATATTTTATGTTTCTCAGTTAATTAATAATTATTTTATACAAATATAAAAAGAAACTTCAAAAACGGAAAATGAGAGAAAATTAACGCTACGCTTAAGCGTTAATTGAATTCTTAAGTTTATGTAATTAAATATTAAACATCATTATTAATTTATTCCTTTTATAAAGTTGCATTGACAGTTTTTCATGAAAAATACAATCTAAAAAAAGATTAGAAAAAGGAAGATGAGTAACTGAATTAGGTTACTTACATTAAAATCGTTTATTTAATTAAGAAATTGTAAAATTCTTTTCTTTCGCTTTTTTAATCTGGTTATTTTTTAATGAAAATTAAATTTTGTTTGTTTCAGTTCATTTGTTCTCTTAAAGTGTCATTTCTTGCAAAAACAGTTACTCGAACAGCTACATAATATCTCACTATGGGATTTATATTTATTAGATTAAAACTCATTAGAACTATCTGCCTAAGGAGAGAAATGCATTTCTAGAGCGCTTTCTAAGTGACTAATTCGTATCACGTCACGCACTATCCGACATTGAAAATGCAACAACAAGAAAGAGTGGCCAGAAAATTATATAAATTTCAGGTTAAACGCACGTCACCAAGTTATGCGAATGATGTGAAATGCTCAGCTCTCCAGCGCACATTCAAGAAGATATAAGGGAAGGAACTTGCAGAATTTTTAGTTTTCGTGGCGTTAATTCTGCTAGGGAAATCATCGTAGAATTTTTGTTCTTGTCTCAGAGGACGCGTATAACAGCAAATATTGCCAGGCCATAATCCTCGGAGGCAGTTCCAGCAGCCAGGCGATTTTACGAGGGGCATGATGATCAGACTCAGAAGGGCAGGTTCGTCCATACGGCAAATCTCAGCTGACACATGCCTGTATGTGTCCACAGTGTACCGGATGTCGTGATGATTGACGGAACAAGGAAATGTGGAACGTGTTCGAAGGGTGCCGGTGTAGCCAGAATGACGTCAGCACGCTTGGATCGACGATGGTGCAACACAAGTCACTTATATCTCCATTCTGTAGTATGTTCAGCACACCCTGTATCCATATCGACCAGAGCCACTTACCGTCAATTGGTGGCAAGTGGCCAGCACTCGTGGCGCCCGTTG